TGCGAGAGTCTTAATACAATTTTAAACTTTTCGAGTATATTTTTAAACAAAAACTTCTTCATAATAAGCTTAACTCCATGGTTCGATATGAAAAACCTAATAAATAGGTCAGATTATACACAAAAAAATTTGTAACTTAAATTGAATGAGACCTATTTTAATATTTAGGTCATCATTTAGATAAGTTTAAACCAAATTAGTTCATAGACTTATAGGTCATTTTATTTTATAGAATAATAATAATTCTTTAAATAAAAATAACAATAATACTATTTTATTAAAAAATATATAATTATAAATTAATTTGATAAAGAATATATTTTTTTAAGTAAATATAAGATTTATTTCATGTTTGATGATTAAGATAAATTATTATTTTAAATCTTTAAAACACTAAAAAAAAAAGAATAATGATAATAAAGAGTAATTTTTTAACTTTTATTTTCAAATAATTTATATATTAAACCATTATATTTTAAATAAAAATAATTTTATTAATGTAATTTAATTTTTTAAAATATATTTTTATTTTTATTTAAATATTTTTTTAATTAATTATTTTTATATAACACATTAATAATTTTTTAAATTTTTAATCATACAAAAAAAATTTCGTTAGCTTATTATTAAATTTTCAATCATACAAAAATTTGTTCGTTAGCTTATTAATCTGAAATAGGGTTAGTTAGACAAAAATTTATCACCCATTTAAAAATATAAGAAATACTGGACTATCAAAACTTTTTTATTTACCGGTCAAGTTTAAATTTTAACAATTCTAAAATTTTCTATCCAAACAACCTTGCTTTAAAATAGAGAGAGTGTTTCTACATTAATTATCAATTAATACATTAAACGTTTTATTTTATTTAATGATAATTACTCAGCATTATTAATATTGAACAGATTATACTATTCAACTATTGGAGTATATTTGTTTGAAGGGTTTAGTTACCGGAGATGATGGCTAAGGTGTCTGCCATAGAATATTTTGCCTTACTCCTCATCATTTCAGGTCTGTAAATTCTCACAATCTTGCCACAATTAATTAGATATTATCTTTAAAATAGTTTTGTAGTCACAGTATGATATTTTGCAGAAGTTTTGATTGTTTGGTGTTTGGTGTTTGGTGTTGTGGTGATTGTAGTTATTTCAATGAGAAGTGAATTGGTTGCAGAGGGTGGTGTGTGTGAGAAAGTTGTGCTGAAGGAGCACTGTGAGTTTGCTTATTGTAAGCAGGTTTGCCAAGACTTGTACAAAGAATTGTTCTTGGCTGGAGAATGCATTTTCACTCCAAAACTTCAATGTGTTTGTTTCTATCACTGTTCACCCACTACTTCTAACACCCCTCTACCCAAAATTCCCAATTAGTTAACCTTTGTTTTGTATATTCCTTTCAACCAGAAACCAGATTTAAAAACTGGTGATTAAGAAATTGTTGAGTCATGTGTATCCCATTATTATCAGAATGAAAACTTTTGTTACGTTTCATGAAATATTTATAATTTATATATAATCAGTATTAATTGTAAAATATTCACATATTATTAATTATAATTATATGTTTACCTATATCAGCAATAACCGTTTTTACATTTCGAAATATATTTGAATAATTAATTTTTATTTTATTATGAATGATTCCTTCTAATGATGATTTTCAAAGATATTGTTTGTGTTTTTTTATGTTGAGATTAATGATATGAATTGTCAATATTGTTTATAGAAATCATTATTAAAAATGAAATATATTAAATATTATAAATAATTAAAGTAATTTATCACACAATTCTTAATAGCTTATTTTCAGTAATAAGAAATTTGATATTTTCATTTTATACGGTATTGAAAACCGGAAGAACTAGTTATGTTAGTCTTGTCATATATACGTAAATATACATAATTAAAAAAAAACTTAAGTGTCTTATTAATTTCTAATAAATTTAGTAATATTGTGTTTGAATTTTTCTATTTTATTATTTTTTATCAAATTTCGTTATTTTTTTAATTTAAATAAATTCTTGTCCCTGATAATTAACTAAGTTTGGATTTTACTTTTCAAGAATAAAATAACAAGTCGATAGATAAGGTATATGATATAAAAAGTTAACGGTTATACCAATACTAAAATCAAACCCTAACAAACAATTACCAAATGAAAATGATAAATAGAAAAAGATTTAGAGGAATCAGACAAAAAATTAATAAATTTATTAGAAATAAATATATTTAAACCTTCAAAAAGTAAAAATATATCAAATTAGACCATGTGATATTTGAATTTTACATGATTTCCTATTATATATATATATATATATATATATATGTATATATATATATATATAATATTTCTACTAAAATTTAGATGAAAATTTATTAAAATTAAAGTTTTAAGATATAAAGAATATAGAATATTTTATAAAAAAATGTTTTGATTATTAAAAAAATTCTTATCTTTCTTAATATCTTTTAAAATGATTTTACACATTGTTGGGACAATATACATAGTAAAAAATTGTTTTCAATCTCCATTACATTTAAAATCTCATAATATCAACAACCGTCACATTGATTAGTATAGACCAAATCAGCTTTTGAAAAAAAAATACACTAAACTTTAGTTTTAAACATTCGAGATAATAAATATTTTAAATATTTAATTTTAAAAAATATATGTTTATCTTATATATATATGAGACAGTTAATTTTACAAATAATATATTAAATATGATATATTTTTAATACATTTATTATCATTTAATTCGTTGAATATATGACATGTATTCATTAAGTATCATTTAATGCTATATTTAATGATAATTACTCAATATCATCAATATTGAACAAGTTATACTATTCAATTATTCAAGTATATTTGTTTGAAGGCTTTAGCTATTGAAGATGGTGGCTAAGATGTCTTTCATACAATATTTTGCCTTATTCCTCATCATTTCAGGTCTGCAAATTCTCACAATCTTTCGACATTAGTTGACGAATTTATTTGCTATGCATATAGGTGTTAAAATTCCAAAGTATCTATGAACGATGTTGTTGTTTTAGATGTTTCAGTGGGAAGTGAAGTGGTTGGATTTAAAACGAAGATGTGTGTGGAAGTGGCGCAACCAAGAGGCTGCGGCTACAATGAGTGTGCATTGTTCTGCGAACAATTATTCAAAAGCAAGTTGATGTCTGCACAATGTGTTTTTGCAAAGGGTTCAACTAAACAATGTGTTTGTTTCTATCGGTGTAATTTATGATTTAGCATCATATAAATAAGATCTTGGTTTTTAGAAACTATATATCTACGTTTAATCACTGATGATGTATTCCGCTATATATATATATATATATATATATATATATATATATATATATATATATATATATATATATATATATATATATATATGTATATGTATGTATTTAAAGTTTTTAGAACATTTATAATAGAAGGGTTGAAAGTTGATTTATGTTAATAATTGTTATGTGAAATATTTTAACATTAAAGTATCTATTGGTGTAAAATAAGATTTTTACGACTTTTCTTTTATTATAAAATAATCATCTTAAAAAAAAAGTCACTACAAAAAAAACTTATTACCTACGGAATATTACCTACGGATAAAAATCCGTAGGTAAATTTTACATTACCTACGGATATTACCTACGAAATTCTATCCGTAGGTAATTATCCATTACCTACGGATATTATCCGTAGGTAATGTAATCCGTGGATAATTCAGTAGGTAATTACCTACGAAATTACTATCCGTAGGTAAATTATATTAAACTAAAAGAATTGTCACTAGCAAGAATCGAACCCAGGTACCTTGAAATTGAAAACTGATACTCCAACCACTAAATTATTTGGATATTCTAATAATAATTTACAACTAAATTATACTTATATTTATTCGTGTAAATATATAAATATATAAATATAAAATATAAAATATATAAATGTAAAATATATAAATATATAAATATATAATATAAAATATATAAATGTAAAATATATAAATATATAAATATATATATATAAATATATAAATATATATATATAAATATATAAATATATATATATATAAATATATATATATAAATATATATATATATATATATAAATATATAAATATAAAAATATTAAATATATAAATATATAAATATATAAATATAAAATATAAAATATAAAATATAAAATATATAAATATATAAATATATAAATATATAAATATATAAATATATAAATATATAAATATATAAATATATAAATATATAAATATATAAATATATAAATATATAAATATATAAATATATAAATATATAAATATATAAATATATAAATATATAAATACATAAATACATAAATACATAAATATATAAATATATAAATACATAAATACATAAATACATAAATAGATAAATAGATAAATATATAAATACATAAATATATAAATACATAAATACATAAATATATAAATATAAATATATAAATATATAAATATATAAATATAAATATATAAATATAAATATATAAATACAAATATATAAATACAAATATATAAATATATAAATATATCAAAATATAAATATATTTTATATTTATATATTTTATATTTATATATTTATATATTTTATATTTATATATTTTATATTTATATATTTTATATTTATATATTTTATGTTTATATATTTTATATTTATATATTTTATATTTATATATTTTATATTTATATATATTTTATAATTATATATATTTTATATTTATATATTTTATATTTATATATTTTATATTTTATATTTATATATATTTTTAATATTTATATATTTACACGGATAAATATAAATATAATTTATTTGTAACTTATTATCAAAATATCCTAATAGCTTAGTGGTTGGAGTATCGACCTCCAACTTCGAGGTACTTGGGTTTGAATCCTGCCAATGACAATTCCTTTAATCTAATAATAATTCAAAGTTCTGAAAATATAATAAATAATAAAAATATAATATAAAGGGGGTTGTACTAAATGAAAATATTTTGTTTTAGGTGAGTACATTACCTACGGATTTTTGTCATTACCTACGGATTTTACCCGTAGATAATAAGCGTTTTTTTGTAGTGAGTGTAGTGGTATTTTAATAAATAATACAGAGAATTTACATCGAATTTCGAAGGAACCAATGTAAGTTTTGTATTTTATTTTATTCAGATTTTTTCTTTCTCGTACGTGTGAGAGTTTTTCGAGTCGACGACGATAATAATAACAATAATCACTACAATACCTTCAAGAATATTTTTCGACCATGGTGAATTGCAATAACACCTGGATTGTGTCTCATTTGTGGTGGTTGACATTTATCTCCAATTGAATTCGAGTTTTAGAATGTGTTGAGTATCTTTGAGGTTAATAATTTATGTGTCTAATTTTATGTTTAAATTGAATCCGTGATTTTTTTCTAATCTCAATCATGATATTGCATGAATATCTCAACTGTATTATTATTGAAATTATTGTTTGTTGTTATCCATTTATTTGTTTAAGTGCACCAACGATTTATACACTTCGCATTATTATGTTTCTACCGTTTATTTATTTGAGTCCCACATTTTTTGTTGTTTATATATATATATATATATATATATATATATATATATATATATATATATATATATATAATATGAATATGTTGTTCATTTTCTTGAAATTTCTTAATCATTATTTATTTTTTCAGGATTATGTCGGATTCGACGTTTGCTAGTGGTAGGAGCGAAGATAGATTTGTTATATGATTTAAGGGGTTGACAATGAGTCATGTTGTTAAGGAGAGGATATAAGTTGACGTCGATTCATATTTTGGTAAGGCGCCAGACCCAAATGCTGCAAAGTTTAGGAGCTATTTGAGACTCCTAACTGAATACCATGTTTCTATTATTATTTCATCTTAGGATAATGTTAAAGAGACCGAGAAGAACCGTATGTGGCAGAATATTCAAGTATTTTCACCTTTGTTGAACACTCCATATATTAATAATTGAATTTAACATTTGTTTGTAATTTGACAACAAAACTTTGACATTTCTAACATTGAGGTGATGAGAAAGAAGATTTTATCATTTATTGCAAATAGATAGAGGACTTCAAGAGTTTCTTGACACGAGAGTATGCATTTATAAAGTATCAAGATAAATATCCCTACCTAAAGTATCATATTAGTGAGGAGGATTTGTTGCAGTTTTGTGTTAGGATTTGACCCTTATTAGTAGGTTAGTTGTTAGTTATTCTTACGTTAATTGTACTTAATGTATTATTCTAATTTTCTTATTTGCATTCTAGGATAAAAAACTAGCTACCCAATTTTCTTATTTGCATTATAGGATAAAAGACTTTTTGCCCAGGAACATCAAAAGCTTATTGATGTACCCTATCTATTATCGGGGGAAGGGTACTTGTTCTCTCTCTTTTAAACAAAGCAAAAACTTCTTTCTTTCTCTTATTTTTCAACTTTTATTTTTGAACAGTGTGAAACAGTATCATGACCAATAATAGTAACAAAAATAATGAAAGGTGTACGCAATAAAACCTTGCTTTGGATATCAAATTATAAGATTCTAAATAGAATTGACGCAAAAAGATTTAGGGTTTGTAATCAATTAAGAACTAAAAATTAGGAATTTAGAACAAAATAGAGAAAACTCGAATAAAAGAAGGTGCCACAAAGAAAGTTTGATAAACTTAAGGATGATCATCACAAAAATTTGTGAATTCTTTATAAGATCGAAGATATAAGAAAGAACCCTAACAGAGAAATATGCTCGATTTGACAAAAATTAGTTGTTGTCTCTTTTCTCAATTTAAGAGTCATAAATACAACAATTTAGGATTTTCTTGGGTTTGACTTTGTTTATAATAAAAGGAAAAGAAAACTAAAAGAATTAAAACTAATTAAATATTAAATAATGATTTTAGGTTCAAATCTCAACTCCACAAAAAAAAATTATTTTTATTTTAACTCTCTAAGCCTACTACACATGTAACCAACTTAGTCTCCTTAGTTACTTGAGTCTTTGACTATTGGTCCTCACATAAAAGAGTCACATTTTGTTGTAAAACTTCTTGGGTCTCTCTAATACTTCCTCTAGTCATTGGTCCAATTAAGTCTTCAATCAGATCTTCATCTTTCTTCTCATGGCCTTGGGCTTTTATATCCTCATCAACGGCTATGTATTGTTGGAGTAGCAACTCATGAAAACCAGAGTAGAGTTAGCAGGACTTGAGTATATTAACCTTAGGTCTCCACCCCTGGGCAATAAGATGTGGAGCAGTTCGCACAAGATCTGATAGACAAATAAGTTCTGAATCTGCACGAGTCATTGCTGAGAAAATTGTAAGTCAAAATATATGACATGTTAATTACCCTTGTTTCCTACATAATTTAGTGTGTGACTTACCTATTGTTGATTTTTTGTAGGATGATTTAGTTGAATAGGTCACTCAAGGCTCGTTTGTTCCCCATGGTCGAGAAGACATATCGACGAAAGTCATAGGGAAACTAGAGCACCCAGGATGTGTGTGTGATACTGATGGATCTTGGGACTTTTGTGATTACTTTAGTCCACCATCACAGAGGTCCATTACCGACTCTTACACTCATAAGGCCTTACAGAAAATGAAGATGCAGTTTGAAGAAAAATTGAATCAAATACGTTAGTCCTTACAATAAGATTTTGATGAGAAACTTGAATCTCTTGTTTGTTCCCAATAGTAAACTCAAGCAACACCTTATACAGTTCAAGATGATGTTGTTCGAGTCAGGACTAAAGGGAGTTGTGTTGTTCTTGCTGTTGTAGATCCCTCTGGGAATATACTCACATTAATGCACCAAACTAGTGTGAGTTATATGTTGAAGATGATCCCCACGTCTAGTGATTCAACCATCTATGATGTCCCTCTACTACCAGATTGGATGCGGGTAGTGATTGATGACATTGTTGTTCCATTGCCTCTAAAGGGAGTTATGTTGTTGTTGTTGCAGATCCCTCTAGGAAATATACTCACATGTTGAAAATGACCCTCACGTCTCGTGTCACTTGGTTAAGTTTTTTAGGGTGGTTCAACCATTTATGGTGTCCCTCTACCACTAGATTGGATGCGAATAGTGATTGATGACCTTGTTAATGTTATAGCTCCATTGCCTTTACCGATTAGAGAAGTTCAGCTAGTTGGATAGACAAGTAACACATTTTTGCTTAGACAAGATATTTGGTGATGTCACTCTCAACATGAGCAAATATAATATATATAATGTTCATTCTCTTTCTTTTGTATCCTTATAATTCTTTGTAATTTTATAAATGTTTAACTCTTTGTCTTATAATAATATTATTATTATAATTAATAACAATATTTGTATATTATTAATAATATTACAATAATTAAAAAAATGTAATATAATTATAATTATTAATATTACTATTGCATTATTGATTATATTAATAATATAAATATTCTTCTTATTTTTTATTTATTTATTATTACTTATAATAATAATTAAATTATATAATAAAAAGTGTTATTATCCTTTATAATAATCAAATAATAAAAATTATACTAATATAATTACTATATTTTGATAGTTATTATATAATTATATTATAAAAATAATCTAATATTATTTAACTTACAATAATTTAATATATTTAATAATTATCTATTATATATATATATATACATATTATAAAATTATATGTACCGATCATCAAATTAAATTTTCCTATACAAATACATAAAAATAAAGAAAAAAATGTAAAATATATGGGATCAAACCAAAACCCATATCATGAATTTACAAAAATAAACCTAAACTGTTAAGAGCACAAACCTATTTTTAAAAACTAAAGATTGATATCCGAAAGGACATTATCATATTAGTTTATTTCGTTTATATTATTTTAATTATAATTAATAATAAAATAAATAATTATAAATATGTTCATATTTATTAATATAATTAATAATCATTATTATTAATATTGTTCTATTATTAATAATAAGATAATAATATTAATAATTATAATTATTAGTTTTATTAATAATATAATTTATTATTATTATTATTATTATTTATTTTATAGTTAATAATATAAATATTATTATTATCTAACACATTTTTCTTGAATCTAAAATAAATAAATAAATCATAATCTAAAATAAAAAAATGAAAAAATAAAATAAAATTATACTAAGAAAGACTTATTCTTCTAATATGACTTAGTCTAATATATAATTTTTTTAAAATTGATTCATATGGCTAAATTTAGAAAAAAATAAAAAATAAACCTGCACCATTCTTGTGCAAACACACCCCTATTAACCTACCTCTTAACGTACTATGAATCCAAAGATATCAAAGCATTTTTTCTGCAAACATTCAAGGAGTTGGTAACTGAGACATGAACATACGCCTAATTATGCTCTTTTCTCTTTGGGCAACTATAATTATTCCCTCAGTTATTATGAGCCATTGAATTAAGGTCATGAAATAGCACTCTAGTCTTGTGTCTAATTTTTGTCTTTCCGTAAACATTGAACCAAGCTCTTGCAACTCAACAAGCCCCATTTGTTGCTAACCACTTTATCTTCTATGAACAAAAACAAGTGCATGATGTACACCTGCAGCATCATAAACTAATGAATTAGTGAGAAAAATCGGTGATTAAATTCGATAAGGCTACCATGATAATAGATCTATGAATAGATTATACCTTTGATTCTTCATATTTTTGCTTCAGAATGCCACACTACATCTTGTAACCCTGATGAAAAGTTTTTGTAGAACTGCAAATAAGTCCGCAAACAAAGTTAGCATCAATCAACCACATAACATAACTGAGACATTGACAATTTAACATGATGTCATTGCTCCCTCCTTAATACATAGGAAATGGAGATGACTTCAGAAACAGGTTGAATCCATCAGTTCTAAGAGAACTAAAGAAAATGTTCACATGCCTTATGAAACTCTAGTGTGTCACCCCCAGTCTTTCGAAGCTCCACCATGTGCAAGGAGGGAGCCACTTCAAAAACCTGTCACCATATGTCAAGTACATCGTTGACCAAAAATTAGCAGATAAAGAATCAATCTCACTATCTTCGCAATTAGAAGAATAAGGCAACAAAAGAAAAAACTGGAATTATTATTCTTAACCACACAATTTGTTACAAAGTGAATACCACAGAAAAGGCATACAACAATAAAAGAATGGCTCAGTACCTCTGTAGCCACTGAAAGGTGACCCTTCCTTCCGCTCTTATCACCTTGCAGCTTCATCTGCAGAATTTTTAAAGCTGATTCAGTTTGAAGAGTCTACAACATTGTTTTAGTCTGTATAATTATGAAAAAGAAATTTTATTTCTTGAAATTGATGAGTATCATCATTTAAGTTTCTGATTTAATTCTCACCTAAGAAATTATCCACCCTTTTATCACTAACTTTGGCATACAAGATCAGTCAATTTAGCCCGTGAAATTGTTGTGTATCAATTAATTTGATCCCTATAGCCTAAACTTAATATGCATGTTAATTCAAGAATTATATTGTCAGATTTTATACTATTAGGGACGAACCTGACTAGTAGTATAAAATCTAAGGGCTAAACTAAGGAATAATCCCAATCACATGAAAGATAGCTTTTGATAATTTGGTAAATAGAAAATGCAGACTAATGCAGGTAATAAGTTTGCTGAGATAAATTATAACCTTGTAATTTCGCTTGTGAACATTAAATCCCAGAGGCTTGGCAGCTTCCTCAATTTTTGACATGATTTCATTTGCAGGACGCTGTGACGTAAAATGTGTTTCTCTCTTAACAATCCCATTCTGTATTGAGTTTAAACAAAATGAAGAAGAAAGCATCATTAGCCTAAAAGAATAATTATATCTGCTTATCAATAGTATTTTGTTAACCAATTACCTATAGAAATAAACTGAATTCAGATCAGGCTCTTAAGTAAACATAAATCAACCAAAAGTTGATCCAGAAGTAGTTCACAATTTTGAAAGTGACCTTTAAGTTGTAATTTGAATATAACCTTTATAATTCATTATGCTTTACATGATAAAAGAATTCTAATTTTTACTTACTGTCTGCTTCTCAAACAAATTTTCAAGATTGAAGCTTTGAGACCTAGATATGAGCTCAAAAGCATTCATTGACACTGGTTTCTCTTTTCTCTCTGTCACAAAGTTTTCCTACATAAAGAGAACAAATAAATAACTTGAGAACAGCTTCAACAGTTTCTTTCTTGCATTTCAAAAGTATAGTAACAATGTAAATAAAAAATTGATTAAAATATTGTTATAAATACAGCACCTTAGAATCATTGAAAGCAGCAGCAACATCATCTACATTGATATCCTCTTCCTCTGTAAAAATAGCTGGTTTGTATCCTTTTCTGAACCATTCATCTTCTAAGATTTCAGGAATTTTTATCCTCTGCAAAAAGTGACCCAATGTTAACAAAAAGTATGTACCAACTGCAACATACCCTTTAACCACATAAAATATATTGATGGGTGATTGATTACAGGATTAGTATCACACAAAACAGAATCAGAACAAAAGGTCCCGGTTTATTAGACCATTTTTGAAAATGTTGCTTGTAACTTCCTTTTTCGTAACATTGTCTATTACATTAACCATTTCTTTACTAAAATGCCCGTAATTACTTCATAATTTTTGTCACCAATTAATAACAAATGTTATAATTTAATAAGATAAACTCATTATTCTCTATCCTGAGTGGGAAAGATGACTAATAGTGCATTAGTTGATTAGAAGGAAAGTATTAGGTAAAAAGAGTAAGATAATAAATAAGTCCTAACAATTTTAAGGGTGATTTTAAAAAAATATCATTGACAAGTTTAATACTAATAACAAAATTAACTAAATTTTTAATTCCTTGAATTGATTAAAAAATTTATATATTACATGCAGGTGGAACATGTGAAAATAAGAAAGCATTTGGGTTCAGAACTCACTGTTAAAGGGTTTGGATCAAGAATACGCTTCAGTAGCTTCTTTGCCTCAGAGGAAAACCATGATGGACATGTAAATTGAGCCTTGCCAATCTGAAAAATATGTTCAGGTTTTCACATAAGCAACTCTTCTTTCCTTCATTCTTGTCACGGATTATTTGTGAAATTACCTACTTTTTTGTACAATGCCATATTACTTGGCTCATCAAAGGGCAAGTAACCAGCCATAAGCACAAAGAGAATGACTCCGCAGGACCAGATATCAGATGTAGATCCAACATAACCTCTATCATTAAGCACCTAACATAAATGGTACACCATATAAATATCACTGCAGTTTGAGGTGCAAATCTAGTCTTGCATCTGATCCATAAAAATATAAAGTAGGTACCTCAGGAGCAACATAATTTGGAGTTCCACAAGCAGTGCGGAGAAGTTCATCCTCCTGTAACAATACAAACAATTAAGAATTAACACAAGGTCCTAATTTCATGCAAATTAACAATCACGCATAAAGGAGGTTGCTGAAATGAAAGTCAAGATGAGACACTAGAAGGAATTTCATTACGTGAGTAACAACTAATAGGGGATGCTTTCCAGTTTCAGCACTTATATTTCTTACGGCCAAACTAGAAATGCATAACATGGATATAAGGTAATTGTATGGCAAGGCAAATATGTATATACATATGTTACCTTCTGTGCGTAGGTACTCAATCCAAAATCTGTAATTTTCAAAATGCCATTTGAGTCCAGCAGAAGATTCTCTGGCTGCAAAGTACATTGAGTATTGAATATGAGTCTGATCCTTAATTCCACTCAAGAAGAAAAATAAGTGATTCCTGCTCACATGTATGACTTATCAATATGTTAATTAAATTACTGGAGAGGATTGAGGTAGATAATGATAGACCTTCAAATCTCTGTGGTACACGCCTCTACTATGGCAGTAATCAACTGCATTGATTAGTTGGTGGAAATAACTCCTTGCTTCATCCTCTTTAAGTCTCCCATTTTTAGCCTAGAAATCAAATTAAGAGGCAAAGTCATTTAGATGCAAGATCCAAGGAAATATCAATCTACTGACATTTCTTCCAATAATACCTCCTCCATCAAGAGAAAAAAAAATTATGAAAATAGTAGGAAGAAATATATAATATGAAGTGAACGAGCAACTTACTATTTTGTCAAATAGTTCTCCTCCATTAACCAACTCTAGCACAATGTAAATCTTTGTTTTGCTTGCCATCACCTACGCTCAAACATAGAACTGTTAATGACTAAGACTAATTACATAAGACCAGTATATTATAAAAATAATGGTAGAAAGTTAAAATAAATTTCTGTCATGAAATAAGTGAAACAAATAAAAACTCAGAATTTAAAGAGATAAACAGTGTAATTTTTATATTATTTTAAATCATAAATTTTTATATATATTAAAATTATATTATAATAATTACCTTACAAATTATTCAAGTAATAATTTATAAATAATTGGTGGAATAAAAAACTTTATATTAACATCACACGGTAATAAAACTTATGATAGATACAATCAATAATACATTATAGAAGAGTGGTATATATAGAGAGAATAAAAAATAAAATGTAAGAAAATCATAATTATATAATTAAATAAACATTAGAATAAAAATTGAATAATAAATTTGATTAACCAGTGGAATCCAAATTCAAATCACTGGTATCGATAACCAGATTTTACTGTCAAGCAAAATTAATCTGAAAAAAAAATATATATATATATATATATATATATATATATATATATATATATATATAAGTAGATCGTATTTATTGAAAAAAGCTGGACCATTATTGAAGAAAAATTTTGGGCCCACGGCATGAACGGTCAGCACACTTCAGTTAACCTTTATTTCTTTACACACTCCAACAAAATCTGTTACTGTTTCAAAATATACGTTAGGTTACACGTGTTAAATAAATATTATTTTTTATTATCCTTGATAATTTTATTAGATTTTTTATTAATATCTTAATATAGTAATATTTTTCTAAAATTATTCTTAATAATTTATTATTTTTTATCTTTATAATAAATCTAATTAAATAAATTAAAATATAATTAATATAATATTAAATTTTGTAAATGATATATATTCCAGAAACAAATTATTCTCGTCAAATCATCATATACATAGAGTAAAAGGATATTTATCACCCAACAACTTATTGATTTTCTTATAAAAAAATAAAAAAATCCATTTTTTAAATAAATAAACATCTTATATAAAAACCGAGATCATTGGTCTCAACCTACACAAATGAAAGGACATTTGACCAATTCTAAAATTATAACATTAACAATTAATAGTATTTTACAATAAGTTTGCTTTTCTAAATTTTAGCTGCAACTTTGAAAGGAGTTCTCGATTTTTTTTTTTCGTTATTCAGATAAGAAAAATAAGAAAAGTGTGTCATACCTCATGAATTTTGACAACGTTTGGATGATTAATCATCTTCATGGCTGAAATTTCTTTCTTCAGCTGCCAAAATCAAAGACCAAAAAAAAATACATAAAAACTCCATAACTTAATTCCCCTTACAAGAAACACAGACTACAAAAGCTGCATTAGTATAATGAACAACCTTAAACAAATCAAAATCAACGTTGATTTAAATAAAATAATAAAGTGATATAAAGTTTACGTGGTATCATGTCATGTTCAATTCGAGAGAGATACCTGTTCCATCATCTTGTGGCGGAGGACGTGGTTACGGTCAAGGATTTTGATGGCTACATAGTTACCATTCTCAACGTTCTTTGCGAACTTGACCTTTGCGAAGGTTCCCTCGCCAATGGTTTTGCCGAGCTCGTACTTTCCCACACGTGTACAAGGTCTCACCGGTTTCCCGCTCATTCTTCTCTTCCTGCGTTTGTTCCACACGGTTAATGTTTGTCGATGTGGTCTTATGAAACAAGGCTGATAAATGAGTATGAAACTCTCACTTGCTTCTAATGTTGTGTGTGTTTAAGAAGATGAGATGATAAATGAATTTGAGAGAAATGAAACGAAAGTGCGAGGACTACGTGTAGGATGCGTGTGGGGAAAAGTGGTCCCCTCACTTGGCGTATTGTTTGTTTGGGGAAGATAGGAGAAAAGAAGACAAAAACGGAACCCAAGAATGCCAAACTAACCAACCAAACATGTGTTCCTTTGCTGAGTGGTTTTGCTTGCATTCCTCCCGCACCTTCCTCGAAGTTACTCCGTTCACTCTTTTCCCCAAAATACCCTCTCCCTCCATATTTTCATCTTCCCATTATTACCTTTTCTTCATATTCGTTTATATGTATCTTATATTTTAATAATTTATTTGGATTTAACTATAATTAATTAAAAATAGAGTAAACAATATATTATTGATATTAAAAGAAAAAAAATTGAACAAATAAACAAATGCAAAATGTGTAATTAATTTGTTTATTTTGAAAAAAATAAAAAAATATTTATTGAATAATTTATGAATTACTAAAATAAATTTATTAAAATTTAATAAATATGAATATAAATTTAAAACGAAAGATAGTTAAATATGAATTAATGTTTTTAAGAAAATTATATATTATTACAAAATATTTTTTAAATGAATTTTAAATATATTAATTTTTGTTTCACGTACCAATTAGATAAAAAGTTTAAAATATAATAAAAAAATCAAATAAAAACTGAAAAAAGTCGCGTATATAAAAAAATCTTAAAACTCTTAATGTATATTTAAAATTATTAAAAAATTCCTAAACTTCTAAAACTAAAATATTAAAAAACGGCTAAACTCTATTCCATAATACATAATTATATATTAAACCCTAACGACATATTGCAACTTTTTAAAATCATTAAAACTCTAATATACATATTTGAAATTATTTAAGAAAATCCTAATCTTCCAAAATATATAAAAATATATATTTTAATTATAAAAAATATTAAATCGTATTAAATGCATCTTAAATATATTAATTTATATTAATTACATCTTAGATATATTAAATGATATTACCACCATCTTAAACATATTAAACCATATTATTACGTCTTAGACATATTTAATTATATTAATTACTTCTTAAATTTTTAAATCATATTAAGTACGTCTTATATAATATATATATATATATATATATATATATATATATATATATATATATATATATATATATAATCACAAGCATAAAAAAAAAATATATCAAATTTACTTTAACAAGCCAAAACATGTTACAAGTAAAGAATTTGTCCACATTACACCATAAAATTGATTTCTTTTACAATGTTATTTATTAGTTCTCCGTTTTAAAATATATAATGTTTTGTTAAAAAATATATTTTTTAAATATATATACTGTTTGTAAAGGAATTAAATTTTTCATATATAATTAATTATAGGATTGACATAATCGATAATGTCCACCAAGAAAAAAAAACAAGGAACTTTTTTACTTGATTAAATTTATACATAAAAATTATCAGAAAATATTGATTAAAGTAAAACTAAATTAATTGCTGCACCTATAAATGATAATGTAAGATTATTGTGCTTTAATTTATTCAATTATATGTTATTTCAATATATCTGATAACTTAAATTCTTATTTTTTATTCCTAACAAAATTATCTCGTCATGTTCGAAATTAAATTCTGCCTCGTGATTTTAAAATAATAAACAAACATCTATAAAACAAATTGTTGGAACAAATTTTTATATAAATAGTTTTAGATAAAATATGAAAAAAAAACAATTTCTCTATAAATTAAAATTAATTTATAAGGAAATTTTTAAAATATACATATAAAATAATTTTTAAAAAAACATAAATTAATTTTAACTTATAAGAAAATTAATTTATTTTTTTATTTTTTTAAGTGATTATAGATGAGTATACTTCTTACATACCCTAAAGTCTGAATTACAATTAGTAATCATTGACCAAAATATCATTCATCAGGCTGTCCAAGTTCTTTTAATCACTACTTATTTAAATGATTACATATTTGTATGATGTATTTCTTTAATTCAAAAGTTATTTCCTCCGCTCCATTTTTTGTGATACAGACTAAATTACTTGTCGTTTTATAAAATTAATGATACATTACTTATATTTCGAAATATTTTTAATCAATGATTTATTTATTATATATAAATAAGATAAAAATAAATAAGTATTTAAGAAAAAAAAAGAATACATAGAGAGAGAATATTTACATAATATATATTGCAATTATACAATTATTACAAAATATAAAAAAATATATTAATTATATTTTTAAATATAAGTGTCATACATTAAACGAAAGAAGACATATTTGAAATATCCAATAATAAACCATAAAAAGGTTGAATGTGAAATAATCATTGTATGGAATTAAAAATATGAATAAGTTTTGAGGATAGTTTTGTAATTACATTCGATCATGATTATAATGTACGTAAACACACACTTGCCTTTCAAATGATTATCCGGAGCAAAATTAAAGTTTATGCATCATTGTCCTTATGACATAAGAAACGTGTTATATTTGCTTTCATAATAAGAAACTAAAACTTGCAGAGTATATCTTCTCTTTTATGCATATTGTCATTAGTTACTATACTTATTTTTGTCGTGGTCAAAATGGTCTCCATTTGATTCCACAACCATACATGGACATTTTTTTTCTTCTAAATTATTAAATGTCGGTTTAATGATAGAAAAAATACATTAAAAATAGGAGTGATCTTATGATTCTATTTCATTGAAATTTTAAAAATTTGAAGAGTAAATTATGATAAAAAACTACTGAGCCACGATAGATATCTGTTATGAACTGTTAAAAATTACAAATTAACTTAAAATTAAGATTAATTAGGATAATATGTGATCTAGAAATATCTTTAAAGCTATTTGATTCAATGTTTTAAGTAAACCAAATCATAAATATAAATGGCCTTTTTTACTATTTTGATATTTCAGAGTTACATTTTTTATTTAACTTTAATTGTTCCATTAAATGGTTGAAATTTCACTAACAACAATTAAGAGTTGAGTTTGATTATTGATTTTTTTTTCTCTATTTTGGTTTGATGAGCATTATAGAGCGACTTGTCTTTTTCTAATTTACTCTTATGATTATAACTTCAAAAATTTAAAAAGAGTTCAATTAGAATAAGTGAATAGCAAATGTGCAAAAAAAAAAAACGACATTAATGAGTTAAGGGTGAAATGGACAATAATAACATAGTACTATGGACCACATATTTGATATTTGTTTGGACGATGGTCCCACGCATGTGGTTATCCTTCACCGTACCATTTGTACCATACGTATCATTGCAAATCGTATGGAGTTAGTGCCTCTTTTTGTGCCTTTCAAAAAGCATTAATTTTATAAATTTAATTCCTGTTCAAATTAATTTTAAATTTACCTTTTTTTAATTTAAATAATTGTTGTATTTATGAGGAGTCAGGAATTATGGACCCATAATAGATCTCTCTTTAAAAAAAAAAAAATTTCACATATAAGATTCATATTAAGACCTTAGTTAAGAAACCTCATTCTTATATCACTTATATTAATTGCTTAAACTATTTTTAATACGAAACTAAACATGTGAATATTTATTTAAAATCGTGTTAGTTATATTTCAAACTAATTTTAGATATTCTAAAATAAATCCAGACATGAGTCTTTTACCCCCACAAACTAACTATAAAGGTTTTACATCTTTATTTAATTTTAAAATTAGTTATTTTTGGTAAATTTCATCAGAAGGACTTTTAATATGTAATTATTTTCAAGTTAATCATTTTACTAAAACATATATATTAAATCAATAGAACATTACAGAAAAAAATTATTGAAAATATAATGTTAATTTTGTGAAATATTTTCATGTATTCAAAACTCTTCAACAATCTATACAGTGGACACTTTCAACTGTAATGTGGGCTCCACAAAACTGAAACGATTGCGGTTGTAATTAGTTAAGACCGTTGGGTATGTGCTTAATTAGTTAAGACCATAAGGTATGTGCTTAATTAGTTAAGACAAAAACCTTAGAGTGAAACAACAACATCAATAAAAAGAAATGGGACCTAGTAGATAAACGCACAATAAATAAAACCAGTATGTGATTTAAAAAAAGAAATGTAATAAAAACAATTATTTTATTTTCTTGAAACATGATAACTTTCTAGTGTTATATGTTCATAAAAAAGGATTATCAATGAAAAAGGAAGAGTATTTATTTTTAATGATGTTTATGATATATAAGTAATTAGTGTGGGTAGTTTGTATAAAGCCAAATAATATAATCTTTGAAAGTAAAAATAATCAATTATGTTAAAATTAAATTTGTATTAATCGATTAGATAAATATTTAATTGATTATATGACCTAAAATCATATTTTCATAACATGTGATAATAATCAATTATGTGATTACTTAATCAATTATGTATTTAAATTCCTATTTTAACATAACGCGCTAATAATCGATTATGATGGTACCTAATCGATTATATGACTTATTTTCATACTACTATTGAATGTAAATAATCGATTAGATGTTCTATTAATTGATTATTTACAACAATTATAACATATTTTTTCTCTATAAAAGAATGCAAATTTTCTTCAATCAATATATCTTTTACAAATAGTAAAAAATAATAAGAAAGAACGTTGTGGGCATCAAAGAAAAATTAGTGATTCTATAAAATGCTTTGAAGATCAAATTCAAAAAAATGTTATTTGGTTATAAGGTGCATTGTTCTGTGAATCTAAGGTGAATTCGTTTCATATCCTTCTTGTGAGTCTTGTATTAAATTTTGATGTATGTGAGGCTAGTTACATTAGTTTAACTTGAAAATAATGAGGAGAAA